ACCATTTTCAGACAGTGCATATAGGAACGCGCGGAAATGTGCTCCTACCGACTTCCTTCCCATCCTGGGTGAAGCTGCACAGAGCGTGGTAATGGGCGGCAGAGACCTGTGCTCGAAACTGACGTTGTATGTCCTATTGGAAATTTTGGAAGTATCATGAGATCTTCTTGTCTCTGGTCTTGTTTGGGGGAGCACAAGGATGTGTCGTCGAAATTCAACTTCAAGTGTATGTGGGATCCTGTCCTCCTTTCTCCCATGGTACACAGAGTCATCCCTTGTGGTTTTCAAGACCACCAAGGGCAGCCTCGCGCGTCTCGATGGATTTATCATTACATTGTGATCGTACAACCAAGTTTGCACTACTTGTTTTCTCCTTGTCCCTGCTTCCTTCGCTTTTTGCAATATAAGGCTTGTCACAAAATGGAGAATGTTTATTCGAATTAAAGCCCAAGTTCCAAATGCCATATCAGTAGTACTCGCTACTACCTACTAAAAGAAGAGGTCCTTTTTTGATGGAGAAAACAACTTATTCGCTCTGACGGCATATTATCCACCAGTCAAGCAATTTTGATCTGCCGACGGTGTTCATGTCGGTGAAGTCTTCAAAGTCATAGGCCGAAGAAACCCCCCTCTCTGATATCTCACGAGATATATGCGTCATTCTGTCCATCTGGGGCTGTGGTTGCGAGATGACACACAATCTTGGACAACCAGTAGTATCGAGATCCCCATCGTACCACAATACGGAGCCAATCCAGTGCATTTACCCTCATCGGTCGCCCCGGAAGTGTGGCAACTTCATCTTTCTTTGTGGAAAAACGAAGCGTTGCCGTTGCACTGCAATTCGAAAGCGGATTCGCGATCGTTGGGTTCATGACTTGGGGTTTCTTGCTCAATGCCGACTTTGAATGCATTCGTGATTGGTCTGGGAGCTGACGAGGGGGGAACTTCTTCAGTGCGTGACAAACGCAGGTATCGCCCAATGGGTGCGAACCATTTCCTGCGAGGCACGATTGCTGCGCCGCGGCGTGGCACCTCTGTACAGCACAGGGACCGCGAAGGGGGTGGAGGGGAAGCCATATGGGGTCAAAAGATGACTGAGAAAGAGAAGAATGCCTTACTCGTCCCCAAACCTGCGGCCCGGGCACATTACCATCGCGCTTAGATGACCTATGGACCATGGTTCGCGATGCAATTCGCTGTCGTGGGGAGACTATACTCCACACGTGGCCGCCCAATGGGCCGCATCGTGAACAGCCCCCAGGCCCAAAGTGGTGGCCGTGGCTACGTAGGCCGCCTGTTTGGGCCTCTGGGCGGCCCCTTTCGAGGCCAGGAGTTTTGGAAGATGTTTCTCTACTTTATGCGACAGAAGGGCATTCGATCAATCGGGTACGCCGGTATTTTTGTCCTTTTTTTTTTTTTTTGCCTGGTCTTCAGCCCTGGGTGAAGAATAAGAATGCCTTCCGAAGAGGCCCGCCCGGGTTGCCGACCGGGCCGCATTCGGTAGCGTCATGCCTTGAGTTAGTTGCTGCTTACGGGACAACCTACATAGTGGTTTGTCCGCTAGCTATACCATATTTCCAACCAATCGTCTTACATCAAAGGCAAACACTGCTTACTCAGGGGACCACGTACGCAACACTGTGCTCAGCAGCAAATCGCCTCGGTTGCGACCAGTCTCAGAGCATTGACGACCTGCGACAAACTTGGACCGCTCTGTAGGCAGGCATATTGGAAAATTACCTGCTCGAGTTCTCCAGCCAGTCATGCCACGACATGCTACCTTTTTCGACTTGTTGCGTTGCATCAATATACTTACTTAACCTTGCTTTTCCAGCGACGGAGAGGCGGCATCATCATCATCATCATCATTGTCATCATCAAAGACCAAGTACTTTGTGGCTCCGAAGCTTAGAAAGTATAATGATGGCCAAGACAGGCAACTCCGGCTTCTACCATATGATTCGTCTGCCCTACGAGTGTGGTCTGAAGGATTCCATTGGTCTGTGAACGCCGGCTTTGACGTGAGATTATGCTGCAAGCCAGAGGAGGGGGGTTTTTTTGGGGGCCAGTCACAAAACCGCAAGTTGCACTGGGGTCTTTGCGAGTAGTCCTTGCGTTAACACGAGTTTCTATTTCCAATTGGTTGAACACTGACTTGTTAGTTCTCGTCAAATCTTCTTTTGCAGGGTCTAAGATTGCAACTTCTTCAAACCCAAATTCGTTTATTCACCACGGCTCGCACCGCCCAACCGCTTGGTGGTTCTGCGGCAAGCGCGGCTGCGGCGGCAATCCACACACGATTCTGTATCACCTGGTTGGCTTGAGAGCGGTCTCTTTTCTCCAAACTTTGTATACTTTCAGTCTTGAAAAGTGGATGTGCGACAACCCCATCTCCAGTTTCTCGTTGCCATTATTGTGCAATCGCGGAGCTTCCCGTCGCCCAAGGAAGGTAATTACCTACTAATACTACTACTAATCTCTACTACCTGCCACTGCCTAGGTACATTACTCATGCATGATTCAAGCCAGCACTACATGTACATATAGTAACATTGCTCGCGTACTCGATGGGTATTTGGAGGAATACCACGCTCGCACGCTCGCCCGCCGTAATGCGACATGACCCAACGAATCCTGCCGTCGGAGACTTGGGGGATCTAGTGCACCAAGGGGGCAAGCCTCATGTATGGCTCGCATAAGAGAGAAAAGAAGGAAATAAAAAAAAAAACCCCCCCATCACGATGATCAGATAAGGAGGGCTTAAGCGACGGCGGCTCATTCTTGTGGTCAAAAGACTGCAGGTATATTCGTACTTGTGTTGCTACAATGTATATGACTGCCTAGAATCTTGACCTGCTCACTCAGACAATGCCCCAAGCACTCCTAATTCGAGCCTACGATGTTGTTTTTTCCCCTCTCTTATCGTCTCGCTCCACGTTCCTTCTGTTTCCCCCCCTCCCTACCTATTCCCTCACCTGCGCGTCACAATCCTATCCGCTCTTTCGGAAATCTAATTACAGAGGCAAAAGAAGCAGTGTGATGTTGCCATACGACAAATCTACTGTGCATCTTGCAGAAGGAATATCATGCCATGCTCTTGCCATGCACTGGAAAGCTGCGATGCGGGTCCTGCCAGTTTTTTCCCTTCTTCCTTGCCCGACCCCACCACGACCCTTACCTCCTTACTTACCCCTTCTTGTTTCTCCATTGCACGTTCTATCTATTCATACATTCATTTATCTAGTTTGTGCTACTAGTCAGTTGCTAGTCCATCATCGATATCTTCTTTGCAAGGACATGAGGTAATGCGTCACTAGTAGGGAATTCTTGAAAAGTCTAAACTTGGCAGCGTTATGTATGATCCAATTTATTCCTTCGAACCCTCTTTTTTTTTTTCCCCTCCCCTCCTCTCCCCCGGTATGCTTTATCTTTTTTTGGTTTCTCCGTCGAAAAGTGGGGCCAAGGTAAAAAGGCATCCTCGTCATGATGCTCTAATCAACTCCTGCAGCTCGGTTTGAAAATTGTATCCTCATTCAGAACGTCTCGATGGAAATATATCGGATCTCGTCTCTTTTTCTATTTATTTTTAACCACTGCTCTTCCCCACCTTTGCGCGCCTTGTTTAGAAAGGTCGCCTAAGTTAGTTTGTTTCTTTTCGTGGGGAAGAACGGGATGAAATTCAAAAATAAAATAGAATTGGAGAAAAAAAAAAGTCTTTCTAATGTCACACTGGATGTTTTATTATACTATGTCTTGCTTGGGGGCCTCATTGTTCGGCATCACGGCTACCCCCTCCATCTTGATCTCCCCCTTCTTTTGCATCCACCTCGATTACAGACAGTTTTCTAGTCTCCCACCAGAGAGGAGGGGGCGGATCGCTTGGAGGTGCATACAGGTGAACTCATGTATCCCAGGGGACGGAAACTTTATTATTATCATTCCTTCTTCCTTCGTTACCCTTTCTATCCTATTTGGGAAAAAGAAAAAAGAAAAAGAAAACTACTCAAGAACTTGAAACACAGTAGGACCCCAATAATTCGAAACGTGGCGGCCAGATGTATGGTGCATCTAAAGCCTAGAAATTTTTGGTGGACAAAACAGAGTCAGATGAGGTCAAGAATAGAAAATGCCGTAATCACATGAGTTACCTCGTACTAATATAAAAAGACCATAATCTACACACGGCATCTGATGCGATTGGATTTCAAGCAACCCCCAACTATGCAGACTCGCAAGTCATTGTGTTTCAAGATCATGCACGCAAAAGTTGGAGGCGACAGGCAGCGGGCCGCTCCTTTTTGCTCCTACCTTGCAGCAGCACGTATCTTATGTTTTGTAATCATGATTTCACGGCAGACTGTTGCATAGTCATGTCTTGATGACAGGTAGCACAGATATCATTCTCGTTATATCCTTTTTTGTTGTTGAAGACCTATATACCTACGTGGTTGATGCTATCTCTTTCGGAGGGTCGTAGGGGGCTCCATGATCCTGTTCCAATAAACCAAATTGTTTTTTTCCCACCATAAAATGCTACTTGGACTTCAGAATAACAGAAGCTTGAATCTGCCAATAAAATATGGAAATGCAAGGCAAGTCGAATGAAAAGGGTATTAACACATCGCAAAGGATGAAAAGACTTTGGCCTCGCCCGCTGGCTTTCGATGCACAGTTGAAAAGTCGTTCATCGTGGCCCATGAGAAGGAAAAGAATCATAAGAAACAAGAATAGAAGTAGAACATTATGAATCCACGCCTGGTGGCTCAAAAAGTGAAGCAAAGTGCCTCACTTTGCAAGTGTAACCCAGATTTGCGCCTACCCATAATTGATGAAACCAATGCATAGTCGCCGGTGATGTTCAGGTCCGTCATGACGTCGAGGCCTAGAGACATCGCCCACGGCATATGCTGGCAAAACTGGCGCGCTCTTTTGTTGAGTAGCTCATATAAATGGCGTTATCATTAACGCTCTCTTGACCTTTGGAAGCCCGACTGCTCCTAGATGCCTTCCAGAGGTGGTGCGTATGAGTAGTTGAAGTCGAGCAATCCGTCCAGCATCCAATGTTGAGGATCGAAAAAGTCATAATTCGGATCATTTCCGTAGTTTATGCCAGCAATCATACTGCTTGGTCCAGCATTCATTCCGCTAGTGGCATTGGGCGTCAAGGCGCCATTTGCTGCCATGAGGTTGGGGAGGTTGTTTGTGGGAGCCATGAGAGTGCTATCCAGGTGTGTCGAAGATGCTGACGACTCGTTAGCTGAGTCCGGATTAGTCGGTTGTTTGAGAGCTGTTTCGTATTAGTAAGTTCCCTACGCCACGCGGACGTGGTGTGCTAACGCAAAGAAAACAGAAGAAATAAACTCACAGTCAAGCGATCCACGGCCCTGTGCCTGGTAGTCTTCCCTCCATCGCCAGATGGAATCAAACACGAGACTCATACTGTGTCGACAGCGGACCTTGAGCTGTAGGCTGTCGTCAATCTCCAACGGGTCAGTCTCGTGGTAAGAAGTCTTGGTCTGATCAATTCTCGCCCCGTTCCACATCTGAACCATCAACTCAGCCAACCTCCACTGAAGATCGTTGTTCTGAATGCTGGTTCGTCTGATTGCTTGAATCGTGTTATGAAATAGGGTCCTGCCACGCTCAAAATCTGAGGTGGTCTTGGCAAAGAATGATCGCATCAGCTTCAAGAGCGCGAAGCCGGCTGCTACGAGCATTTGTTGCATGTAGTTGGTGGCATACAGCAGGATATCAATGTTGCTATCCAGGAAAAGGAGGTCCAAGAAACTGGTAATGGCACGCCACAACCCCATCAAGTCATCCATATAGCCAGGCGTCTTGCTAGAGTCAAAGAAACCAGCGAGGCGCAGATGCACGGCTGCAGCTTTGAGGTGAGCTTCGACCACGGATGACAAGTGTTGCGACATGACGGATGCCTGCAACTCTTGGTAGTCCCGGCGGTAGACTCGCATCAACATGGCGCGGTGCTCATCACCGGCAACACCTCGAGGATCGCTGGCGTTACTATACATTTCCTTGGAAACCTTGTCACAGAATCTCTCAATTCTGAGTCTAGCCTCAAGCTCAGTGCTCAGCGTGAAGGGTCCCTCTTCACCTGGGCGAATGGCAAGGGTCCAATCATAGAGACTCGAAGCGGGCTGGCCATAGCCTGTACCCACGTGCTGTGCGACAATGTTGCAGACGGCCCACGTCGTGACACGGTCATGAAGCTGGTCCTTATTCAACTCAACAGAGACTCGGGAAAAGTCTTGTGTATGGCTAGGCCGATGCAGACCGATTCCAGTGGCAGCTTTCATCATGACTCCACATAGAATGTGAGTAGGATCAGCCGTTGTAGTGCTCGTGGGAAGGGGCCACGTGCAAATCAAGCAAAGGGCCTTGACGACGAAATAACTATTCGGCACGTCGCCGACTGTGCCCCAGAGAAGCCTATGGAATGGGCCGCTGGCCAGCTCTGCCAAGATTGGCTTGGCCCTGTACCGTCGTGATGCAATAGCTATAATGGTCCAGAAGAGCAGGGCATGCTGCTGAAAGTAAAGATCGGGAGGTTGGTCTGGGTTGAGAAATGGGAGGAAGCGGTGGTAATGCGTGAAGAACTCCTTAAACAGACTATTGACGTCTCCCTCGGTCAAGCGGACCGTCTCGAGCTCATAGGCATAGTGTGTCGCAACGCTATAGGAGCCACCCCTCTTGAGCGTGAGGAGGGAATTGACAGCCTCATCCGAACCCATCAGAGAGGGGTTTCGAGTATGTGTATAGGCGCTGTTGGCAATGGGAGATTGGAGTTGCGAGTGTTGAAAGTCGTCTTCATCGTCCATGGTGTAGCCTTGTACCCTGGCCTGTGCAATATTGCGCCGGAGTCGATCGATCTCCTTTTCCATTTCGGCGTGCTTTGAGCGCTTGCCGATTCGCTTAAAGTTTGACTCGATCTTGCACTCGAGCTTGAGGCGATTGCACCTCGAGCAGCTCGCAAAGGGCTCTTGTACGACATCGCATCTCAACTATAGTACGAGAGTCGTGTTAGCGTCGGTTTTTGCAATGCATGTCTCGGAGCTGTGCCATGTGTGTGTATGCACTTGTACGCGCAAGACCCTGGACCACAGTCACCCGCGTGGGAATTGAGTTTCTGAGTCGTGGGTGCTCAGGCCCTTTCGTGTCCTGCCTTGTCCGGTCCTACATGTTCAGAAGTTTGACTCACCTTTTGCTGTCGACACTCGTTGCAGGCGCGCTTGACGCCGGGTTGGCGCTTCTTTTCGCGCTCGAGCAGGGACTGGTCCTCATTGTCGGGGTTCTCGCTGCCGGGACTGCTGTCGAGAGCGCCGATGCTTCTCTTCCTCTTCATGGCCGGGCCATGGCGGGCGCTGACGGGGGAGGTCGGGCTCAACGACGCGGAGGCGGCGCCGATGAGTGAGTGGGCGTCCATGCGCGCGACGAGCAAATGAGAGTAAAGAGGCCGAGGCCTGTTCTCGGAGAGGCGGGGATGGCCGCACGCTCACAAGCAGGCAAGGCAGGCCAAACCGGACCAGACCGTACCAGACCAGACCAGGAGCTGAAAGGCGATCCCGGGGCACAGTTGTTGCAGTACACTAACAAGCCGGTATCTGGGATTGGATCTGGGAGCTCTGTAGAGGTCCGAAGTCGCGTGTGGTGTTCCGAGTATAAACGTCTGCCGACAACGGAGAGGCACAGATGTTATATGTGTGGTTTGCGGGGAATTATTTTTTTCTTAAAAAGCACGCGAAAAAAAAAATAGCAAAGGAATTTCTTTGAATTGAGGGGCTGGGCCAGAGCTCGGGTGGGCTGGCGGGTAATGGCTTGGAAAGGACCCCGAACTTTGCGACTCATACCTAGACTTTGCTAACTAGTATCACTGAGCTCTTAACAACAACCCACCAAAGGCTCTCAGTTCTTTCCTGGCTCTCGAGTCGAGGTCGCCCGTATTCCCGTACCGACTAGCGTAGTGACGCGATTTGCCTGGTGCTACACTAGAGGAGGGGAAAAAAGCAAACGGATATTCTGTTTGGCCGGGCCACTAACAGCTTGGACCTCGTACCAGGGCGAGCCCCAGGACCACCTTGATTTTCTTCCCAGCCAATAACGTCGGTGCATGGCCAGTTGTATGGCCGACTTGTGGCAAGTGCACGCGCCGGTTTTTGAGATTATCGATAGGCACGTCGGCACAATTGCCGACGGTAAGCAGCACTGTATGATACTGTAATGCAAACGGTGTGATCAATCAGTAGTATCATGGCGACAAGGCATCTCCAGATGTATGCAGTATCGTAGGAGCTTCTCTCTAGGAAAACACCCAACGACGACAATTGAAAAGCTACGTATTGGTCGTAACCTTCTCCAAGATCTCAGTTGGCGCCAACATGTGCTAAACATAGTAGAGATAAACATGCGCACCAAAGGAGGGGCTCTAGATCCAGCGTTAGTGTCAGATGGCGTTCTAAACTTGCGTCAGGGTCCAGTATGTACTAGCCCTGCTAAGTCTCAACTGGCAGCTAGGCCTTGTACGAGCTGCCGCGGGGTATTATCTGCTGAATAGGAAAGAATGGAGATGAATACGGATAACAGATGTTTGACTACGGATTTGACAGTAAATTTAGTATCGTAACAATGGAATAATTGCCAGCAGAGCATCGAGAGTCGTGGTACTGAGAGAGATCAAGATACTCAATGTCTACGCATCAAGCTTTGCAGTGGCCGAATTCGCTATGTGCTCTGAGTTACTGGAGAAATTAAGTTTGAGATTTTCTCAGGCAGAAACTTGACTTCAAAATGAAATTGAAAACGAATATCTAATTCTGATTATATATGTTTTTATTACATTCTCATACGAGTAGGCAGGCAAATAAGCTACCGGATTCATAAAAAATTGTCTCTCACTGCAATAGAGAATAACCCTTTCTATCACATATCGAACTTCAAGAAAAGGTTGAAATCGAACAGATTTGTAACGCAAATTGTCACATATTCCATATCTCATGAGTCCAATTGAAGAAGACTAGAGATGGAAATATGAATTGAAAGATAAGAAAACCAATAAGTGAACCCATGACTCCTTGACACTTTGTAATCGCGTGGCTAATGTGTTATCTGTAAAGATATCTTATAGGCTCCGCAATCTTTCCTTCTTTTTCTTTTCCTTTTCTTTTTCTTTTTCTTCTTGGCAATTACTACCTCCAGGCTGAACCGCTGTGTTTCAGTTGTCTAGACCTGACTTGGCTTGGCCGCTTGGTGTTGATCGCTGAGCCGCATGCCATAGTTGATGCGTGTCATGAATGTCTCTCGGTTGCGATTAGATTTAGAATGATTGAAGCCTTGGACAATCTCAAGCTTGCGATCAATAGTACTTTGAATCTCAGCTGTTCGGCGCATGTGAAATGTGACATTAGAATCCGGACCATAGCTCATTATTTCGAATGGAACTTCTCTTTGTGGCTGCACAGAGAAAAGTTCGAGGTCATTTGTAAGCTCTCCTACATCTCTTCTACTGCCATTTGGTGGCTTGGTTGCTGATTGTTGCCCCGATTCTCGATCATTGGCAATTTTCGGAGAAGGCAAGTCAGGCTTCTGTGTGTGGCTTCCTAGAAAGTGTGGCGGTTCGGCGAAACCTTCAATAACTTGTTGATCCTTGCGTGGTGGATGTGCTTCAGGTCGCTGAAGCAGTACATTGCTTTTACGGCTCAGCTTCTGCTTGACTGAACGTATCATAGCCTCTCGGGTAGACTGCTTTACGGAAGACCTAGCCGCTTCCTTATCAAAGTCAAGCGTGTTTGCTCTTAATAACCTTGACAGCTTGCTGTGGTTGGCCTCGTGATGATATCTGTCCCACAGATCTATTGCCTGATGGCTAAAGAAAGCAGCCAGAACAGTGATAATGAGAGATGCAACGGCAGCTGGAGTGTACCAGATAATTTTCCAGTTGTTTGTAGTCATGCCGAACAAACCCTTTGGACTAGTTAAATATGCATACTTGGGGTACACCGGAAAATTGGGAATCAATGAATTAGCCGACTTACAGCCACGAAGGACAGGGGCACAAAGACAAACGCTAAGCCAGTTAATCGAGCGACCGTTCGTCCTTGTTCGATTGTTTCGGTGTTGAAAGCCTGTGACCAATGCTTAGTCTGACTATGCTAGTTCATCTCGAGAGTCAATACATACCAGTGCGAGCAGGTTCTCCAATTGCTTTTGCATGATCTCTGTTGTTGACTTGACGTGCTGAAGGTGCAGTTCAATCTCGCCGAGACGTTTTTCGAGATGTCGGGGTGCTTGATTTCCTTCTTGCTCTTTCGCTTTCTGGTTTGCAGAGCGGCCGACCGCATCTTTGATCTGCTGGCTTACTGCTTCATGGAGATAGATGTACTCACTCAACTCAATCAATGTTCCAATGTTTCGGTGGATCGATCTAGCTAGAATCATGGTTGGTAGTGACCTCAGATACACCAGTATATCCTGGTTATGGTTACATTAGGTAGCGTTTATAGTGAATGCATAGGATGGGGTCAAGCATACTGTATTGGCCACAGTGTCTGTGATAGCCCCCAACACCTCGTCCCATCTATTATAGATGAAAAATAGATCGACAGCAATCCAATGAAGTGATTGCTCAAGTCGATCCCAGCGACGTTGATTGAACAGCAGATGATTCTCCAGTTCCTTTTCCAGACGATGCTCCAAGCCCAGTCCTGGATCTCGTGTCTCAACGCAAACAACAATAATCGGTCGATCTGGGTGAGAGTTTATACCCCCGGCCTCGCAGGCCCAATAAAACACTCGCACAGGTTTGGCAGCACCTATTTATCATAAGCAGCTTGACGGCGAGGCATTGGATATGCCCAAGTGCACATACGTGAATCGTCGAGGCACATAACTTTCCTTCTAGTCTGACTGAGCTGTTTCAACTCAACCATGTCAATAAAGTTGACAACAAAACTGGTCTCTGCAAAGGTATTAGCAAAGACCGAGCATGTATTCTTGATTAATCACCTGAGCCTCCAAGGTCCATTGTTGGAAGGGACGTGGCTGCCGATTTTTGAGAGCCCATCTGGTGATATGTGGGAGGCGGTAGATTGGGTAACACTTTTCTGAGCATCCCGTCAGTCCAAAATTGCCAGCCCTCGATGCCACTATTGCTTGGTCAGCCCATTACTCAAGTTTCGTATACCAGGTATTGCAATACAGTAGAATTGGCCCTTGAGAATTATTAACTTCTTCCGTGAAGAAGCTCTCAAACGCATCCGAGTCCTCATATTGCAAGTCTGCTCCAACCTGCTCGAGGGCCCTCGAGTCAGTCTTCACGTTAAGCATCGTGATGCAGATGCTGTTCTTCTTCGGTGTAGACATTGTTGTATGTGGGTTGTACTTTTTCGTCTTTGTGGGAAGAAGGGATTACATTTGCAGGCTGGGTTATAAACAAACTCGTTTCTGATCTTGTCATACGGAACTCCTTGAGATGCCTTGGAGATATTGGTAAGGCTGCCAGGCAGACATCTGATAGCCTTATAACAAAGAGGGTGGCTAAATCCCACCCGAAAAGCAATATGGACTTACCATAGGTAGGTGCTGAGCAAGTCGTTTCCGTAGTGTGGGGTAATCTTGACCTTGACCTAATCTTTTAGTTGTCTGAACGACCCAGAGACTCCCAATGCGACTCAACGTAGCTTTGCTTCATAATTCTCCGACGCTCAACCAATTCAGACTCTTTTCATCAATTTATCAATACAAAACGTCCCACAATGTCATCTTCACATAGTCACGAACATCCCCGACCGCGCCGAGAGCTTTTCAAAGGCCGATTACAAAAGCCCAGTCCGTCTCCTGTGCTCCATTCTTACACTACGACCCCAACACGTGCTCACGAGATCATCATCAAGCCTGCTTCCCAGCGCCCAGCGGCTAGTAAGGCCTCCAGACAACGTTGATCTAGACAATCTACTCACCGTCCTGCAGGAGATCCAGTAGAGATTCACTCGACAGCGGTACCACAACCGTTCTGTAAGCGAACTCCTCGATTTCAGTTTATCAATATCATTAGCAGTCTACGGCTTGAAAAAGCCTACACGATCGCCCAAGAGAAACGCGTCAGATATCTTAAGTTGCTCGCGTCACCTGTAACTGATCAATTGCAGTGGATCCGGACGACCTGAAGCGACGGATTCGTGAGCAGAAGACTGCCTGATAACGTACTTGAACGGAAACGAGCTCACTTCTCCGCTCAGACTCATTGTGCCTATACTTTTGAGCAACTCGAGAAGTGTAGCTTCGCACCCCTCGAGGTAATTATGAATTTGGTACGCCATGTTTATACTTGAGAAATGTACGGCTGCGGCGTAAGCATACAAAGTATTCGATTGTACATGGAGCGCCATGGGCATCGCGTGGCGGTGCTACGTCGTCACATGGGAAGAACATTCAGGACTTTCTTTTTTTTCCTCATCCCAATCCTACCAAAATGTAGTTGGTCCATGGTTCGTGGTCTCAAGCCTCCCCAATCCTCTAAGCCACATTAATGCAACTCGCATAACGCTCTAGGTACCCTTTATAGTAGTAGTAGGCACCTAACCGCTTACATCCTGACAAGAAATTTCCTCGAGTGCTGAGAACCTCGATCATCGTCTTTGACTGCATTATCATATCATGTAATCAACTTGGCAGACAGGCAAAGCGGGTTGACTGAGATTTGTCATTTTCGTGACATTCAAGAGAGATGAAACAAAGCAGAAGTGTGGCTTGTACCAGTGGTAAACGCATTATTGTTTTACGATTTCTTATATTGCATGTCTGATTGAACGCAATCTGAAGTGCACCATCTATCGATAGCGAAAATTTTAAATTGAAGAACTCATTCTAGATTCAGTCAAAAGTGTCTCATGCGTCCTATGGGAGTAAACTAGTCAGGGGGTTTGATCGAAGAGTAATACGCAAGAACTAGGTACTATGGTTTCTACCAATGTTGAAGGACGATAAATAATTCAGCTTCATACCAAAAAGAAATGCCATGTTCTTCCACTGCATGACTTTATGCTATACATCTCTGATGTAACTAGCGTCGATTATAAAGGAAGCTTTACAACCACATCCACTTCTCATATCTTTCGACCATGGGAACGGATCATTCCATATGATTAGCGAATCAGGATCCAAATCTTTTGAACACAGAACCACTGCCGCAACCTTCAGCTCCCATGCACGCCATGGTATCATTCTGGGCAGTCTCAAGAAATCCGACATCGCTCCGAGATCGACACGACCGGGTGGAGTTGGGCCTCTATACCATCTTTGCCGATGGGGCCAGAGACCGGGGACAATTGCGGATACAATGCAGAATAAAGTCGTCATTTACAGTAGGAGCGTTCTATTTTTATTTTAATTGTCGGTCTAGTCATGAACCGGGTGTATCTATTTTTCCTTTGCATCACGTCTTTCTGGAAATGCAGGCTCGGCAAATGGGCTATCGTGAGGCACAAGTACATATCCAACTATAGAAGCAGCATCTCGAAATTGAAGCCCGAGTGTTTGATTCCAGCAAACACGTTTCAGTGGCATTCCAATTAAACCCAATGGTTGAGCTACTGCTTGGAGATAGCATAGGGAGTGGCTTCTGTGGCAAGGTGGTGAGAAGGAGAGAAAACTGTTGTTGGCATAGTAAGCAGCAGAAGAAACCTTATTGAATCTTGGGCATGAATAGTTCATGATCTACACGAGGATAAATATTTATATAGCGCTGCGCACTATTCTTTCTATTTTGACCTCTCTGGTCATCGCTGAAAAAACCTTATATGGGAACTAGAAGCATTTCCGTTGTTGGGGCCAATGCACATGTCAATATGCTCGTTTCAGGGCATCTTAAAGTCATTCAAAGTGTGTGCTCAAGTCTCCTACTCTAGCCGAATTGAGACTTTTTTCTATGATTTCATAATGTCTCGGAATCTTCCCTAGTCTCAACGCCCTACCTGAGATAACAACGTAGGGCATCTTGACCATCAAAGTATATTTCTTGCACGTGAAGAGCCTGGTGAGGAGTCTCGAATTGCTGTACCTCGCAATCTGAGTTCGTGGACGGGTGTTTCATACCTATTGTAATCCCAATCCTCAAGATCACTCATCAATATCAGTATACACTCTCATGTGTTGGGGTGACCCTGGATGGGACGATGACTTCAGCCTGGTCCGACAAGATAACAAGCACAAATGTATCAGATCCAAATTGACTCTTCCCAGCGGCAGTAAAGAGGGCATCAATTAAGCGGCCTGGTTGGCAATGATTTGGAGGGAGCACAGATCGGAAGCTATAAACAATGCACGCAACGCTGTTAAAAAGAAAGACGATATCTGCACCAACTTATTTGACCTTGATAAACTTGATACTGGCATATCCTCAGGCATGCTTCATACGAAGCGGTTGAGGCTTTCCAAGCATGGGCGGACAACAGAGCCAGAGACAGCACCCATTAACAGGAGTGTTATTCGAAACATAAGCATCTACCAAAATGTCACATTTTGAAGCACAAAACAACCATATGTGTAAAGATACAATGAACATTTATTGGTATCGTAGCAATCATTCAGGTATAACATACGGGGGTGTTGCTGTTGTGCAGCCCCCATCTAAAAGCAGTATCAACTATCCATCTCCGTCATTTCCCAACCGAAGAACGCCAGAAATGCATATGCAGCAGGCAGCAGTCATTATCTACGAGACAACTAGCCACTGCCAACAACTCTCAACCACAAAAAACTTAGGGGTTTTAGACGTGGTTAGAGTGAGAGTGAGAGTAGGGCTCGTAGGCCAGATCCGAGCGGGCGTTGTTGCCGCGAGGAGCCCAAGCCTGCTGGTTGTAGCTGTGGTTGTTGTTCTGGTGGTCGTGGATGGGAGCGTAGGCACCGGTGGAGAGGAAAGGCTTCTCGTCACCCTGCTTGCTGCGACGTTGCTTGGGGTCGCGCTTGCAGCAGCAGGCACTGAATAGCCAGAACAGAGAGGCGGCAATAGCAAAGGCAGCTCCCAGCCAGGCAGCGGCCAGGAAGTTCTTGTTGATGGTGCCAGTGACACCGTAGGCCTTGGCGGTACCTTCGATAGCACCGACAACAATGACAGCCAAGGCAGTGACCATACCGGCGGTGGCGCAAACGGCGGTGGTGGCAATACCGCTGACAAGGTAGGTGACGCAGGAGACGGCGCGGCTGCAGTATGTGAAGAAACCCAGAACCAGCTCAAGACCCAGGGCGACCATGGTAATGATGTAGACAACCTCGGTCCACTTGGTGACGGTCTTGAAGGCAGTCAAGGCATCGGAAATCTCATCGGGAAGAGTAACATTGTAACCGGAAGTAGATAGGTAGCTGTCGTTGAAGGTTGACTCGGCCCAGTTGAACTTGGCCTTGGTGCAGTCCCGGTTGCCGTCAGAGTCGGTTGAGCAGTATCCCTAATGAAGAGTTAGTGGTTGTGTTCAACGAAATTCAAACATGCATCAGACTAGGAATTACTCACCCATAGGTTGACATCGTAGAGATCGTCGAGTCCGAGGTCAGTGGCAGTAATGTTGCTGCTGGTCGAGCTGCCACCAAGAGCGCTAGAGATGGCGCTGGCGGCGGCGGCACTGGCGCTGGACGAAACAGAGCTTGCAGTAGACGAACCTAGGGACGAAGCATCGTGCCAGCTGCTGCTTGTCGAGCTTGATGAGTCTCCCTGACGAGCTTGGAGTTCGTGGAGATCCCGCGAGAGAAGTGATGTGACCAAGCTGGAACTAATGCTGAGATCCGTGACGTTTGCACGGAAGATGTACAGGCTCGAATTGCCCGTGACTCCAGTCAAACCAACAATAAGCATGCAGATGATGCTAGCGGTTGTGAGTATAAATGGCAAAGCCACACAAAAGAATCTGCCCACGTTTCCCATGGCGAATTAAGTGTATGCTGTTTTGTTGGCGGTGGTTGTTCGGATTATGTATTTACAGGCGAGTCGACTTATGGGTTGCCTCGTAGTAGTAGAGCGGATGAATCAGAGCCAAGCGAAGGTGGAGATGGATCTGATGGATTGAATCGGGTTGGTGGTGACTTTTAACCGTTGATTGGAAAAAAAGACACACGCTGTTGAGTGTACAAACGATGGTGAATAGTAATCGAAAGGAGAAATAGTCCTGTAAGACAGCGGGTGGCTGTTGTATTTATTCAAAGGAGCCGCGAAAGTTTGGGTCAAACAAACTCAGCACCAGCTAACTAAACTGGTTCTGCGCTGTCTGGTGGTTGGACGGAACCGACGAGGATTCGTACTACGGACCACTTGTGTGCGCTCGCAAGGAGTGGCGCAGCTCAAAATTCAGCGGTGATCCCCCTCTTCAACCGGCTACCACGCTTCAACTCAGCCGGGCTGACGCAGGCCCAGTGAGCCCAGCAACAGCATTTTGAGCATTTTTGGGCTTGTCTAGCGAAACTCAGCCCCGGCAACGCGCTGTCCAGGCCCACTATATTTGCGCAGGCGGCCATACAGGCTGGGCAGTCGAGCCCCATGAGGTAAGTGACCAGTGCCGACATGCTAGACCGATCCGTTGCCCCCCCCCTGCAGGTCCCCGGTCGTTTCGCCTTGGCCTTGGCCTGGGATAGATTGGGCTTCATCCTTCGCTGCTGACGTCTCGCTGTAGTGTCAACAAAAGATGTGAAGAAAAGTTCAAGTGGCGCCAGCCAGCTTTCCTCTTATTTCGTGATTATTATAATAATAACAACAATAGCCCAACCAAACACCCGTCAAGTCTGCCGAATAGTATAAGCTTAACAAGTCTCCGTGCAGCCGTGGACTGAGATTGAGATCAGAATCCGCAACAAGAAGATCTGCGCGATATGACTTCACTCAATACGAGCCCACTGTTGCACCAATGAGTAATGAGCAACCAGCAGCAAAATGTTTTCGGGTTTTTCTTCCAGACCAGCCACAACTCTATGCACCATCAACGTTGATCACCATCTGCCGTTACTCGGCGAAAGCGGAGCGGCCGCTGGCAGCAAACAGGGCCTCCCTCATATAGTGTACACTATTCGTACCTACGTTTGCTGATAAATGTACTATCATCCCGTGTGATATCCGCTATCTAGGGTAGAACGGAATAATAGCGTAAAACATGCGCAGACGCGACGACTGCACGGCAAACACGGCTTGCTGTCCCCCCCATGGTCGACTTCATTTATTATAACAAGAGCTGCGCCATGTCACTTCAATTTATCAAGCGACGACAATGGTCACGATCCTGAGTAATTTATAATATCGAGCAGCTTTGTCTAGTTCATATGTCGCCTGCGTCCAAAACAAGAAATACTAGGTGCAAAGTACGTAGACAGTGGCGTCATCCAAAAGTGCAAGTGACGCGGCTGTTGGGTGGTTAAGCAAAGAAAAAGTCCTGAACTCCAAACACATGTCCGCTTTTCTCGGTGGAGAAGGTGGTGCACTGGCCAGAACACGACTCTTTCGCATGCTCCCCAGATGTCAAATACCCTGGTCAAGCTCAATGCGTCGCCCCAGTGAGGACGTCTGCCCATGAGAGAACAAGAGAAAGCTCAGAACAGAAGGACCCTTTTGGCGTGGAGTGGGTCCGTCTTTCGTGGCATGGTCAGAGTCGAGAGGTCGAGACAGACAAGGGGGCAAGGTGGCTTGAATTGGTCATTTTTTCTAATTATAGACACACTGACTGGCTAGAAGATTTTCTAGTCAGTGAATATTTCACTTGCGGGTGACGAGTGCAACAGAGGCGAAGCCTCACCAGCCTCCAACTTGTCGGAAATGGAAAACCAATGCTTGAATTTTCATGATTGGCTCATCGGTCCAGTCCCGGGCATGATGTGCATATTGGGTTATACACAAGTTAGAAATAAGCTTATATCGACCCTCCCGGACCATATATACTTCGTACTGCTGCTACTATATGCCACCTACAGCACAGGGCGGTTCCTATGACCGCTGCTTGCACGATTTGCGAGTCACGTAAGCTTTTAGATCTCCAGGTAGACTGTCGATATCCACTATGATGGATGGATATCCTGTCACGAATGAATACCTATACCTAGATCTTTGTTTGGTTCGCATTTCCGACACCAATGCATTGTATCATGTTTGCTTCGTGGTCCGTCTCCCGAGACGCCAAGTAAACACAAACAACACCAGTTACCGATTGTACTCTGTGCTGTGCCACTAGTTGTATCTCATTGTTCGCATTGTACAACAACTTTCTTTAACGTCAGAGTCTTCATCATTCTTGCCTTGAACATAACACCGAGGCCACACACAGCAACAAACTACGGTCTTTTGAACATGCTCTACCGAAGTGACCTCGAAGTTCTGATACTCCCTTTTCCGGGTGAGTATTCAATACATTACATCAAAACCAACCAGGGATGTGCCCATCAAAGAGTTCTCCAGTGATCCACTATGAACACAATGTGTTGTGGACTTTTCTCAGCAACATTGCGGCGAAGAACGACCGCGCTGATACCTAGCGAGCCTAGATGTATGTGTTTTCAACCAACGTTGTGCCACTCTGTCGGACCCATGCGATTGCAGAGATGGGCTGCAAGTTCAAGTCTCCCCTCTCTCAAGCGGGTATTTGAGGAGCTGCTTTCAGTAAGTGCTGCATGTAGCCAAATCAACAACGTTTGATGATGAGGCGCCATCCTACAACAAGGGTATCTCGCTGTGGAATTTGTAATACATTATGTGGCCAATACTGCTTGATTTGTTGCGAGCCTATTCAGCACGCCCGTGCACTCGATGCCAAACAAAAGTGCGTAACAATCACATCTTATAGTGAACATATCTACTGCCTGCGATGGACCCCGGGCCCGATATTGCAGGAGCCAGTAAAGAGAATTATGGCATTCGGCCGACGTCGGCATACACAATAGGCTTACGGTTGAGGCTCTGATTAAACGTTGGCCGTTGGACTAATGTAGGAAGTTCTGATGGAGCAGCTTCCAATCAGCTTGCCTGGGTTTTCGTGTCACTTGATGCCGTCCCGTGCGTCCGCCACGTCGGCGCCGACGCACTGGACCCCGGTTTTGTCAATCGTTTACGTTGACGGGCGTAACCAACGTCTACGGTGCTTGTTGTGATTGAGAGAATGTACAATGAGACCGTAGGTAGCAAGAAAGGACGGGACCTAAAAAAGTTGAGCGGGTTTATATGCACGTTGCATGACTATTGTCGCCTACAATCAACATTTGGTAGAAATGACCCCACTACCTAACGCACTCATGTATGGGCAGCATCAGCTCTGACTGAGCCTCTGACGCTGGTTACAGCTTCGAGGAGCTTCAAGGTGAGAGTCCCCACCAAGGCTCAACACCACCAGTCTACTAGTACATCTGGTAGCTATGTAATGTACCTACCTCACGACAAAGTGCAGCCAACTCCTTATACACGCCTAACCTACATGACTCTTGGAAGGTATGTTAGAAAGGCGCCTTCCTCGCCGTAGCTAAGTAGTGTATTAGAGCTTCAACTACCTACCTAACCTAGTCATGATATGTGCACCTTTGAATTGGCTGCTTATCGTGCATACCTGCAAATAGCTGGGCCACGATCACACCTTTTGCCCCAATGGTGACCTTCACCTTTTTAAAGTTCAAAGTTGCCTATCTATCTGCCTGCAAGACCTATCTAATCATTGCTTTGCTTGCATTTCCACACCGACATTACAGCGCAATCCTACAGAAAGGGTCCTCCTGTTCTGACCATAAGAATCGCAGGCTCCTCGACCAAGAAGCAGGTACCTCCTGCCCCTACCCTACGTACAGTATCTACATACGTGACCCAGCGACAACGAGGCTAGCGAAAAGCACAGCCTATCTCCCCTCCAATCTCATACGTACACGAATTTGTAGAAGCAGACGGATAAGGCCTTGTGGCTTTCTCTATCTCTTGGCTTTCAGGACAATACCGCCCGTACCTATAGTACGTTCGACAAGCATTCTCAATATCATCAGGAATCGGTCGTGGAACGTTCAACGCAGTCGACGTGACAGGGAAAATATTGTCGCCAAGCCGAGCCGGAGGGGCGGAGCACCAACTGAGTCAGCCCCAATACCCAGCGCCCTTTCTCGTTCTCCGCGTTTGCATTCCATTCTCCAGAGGCTTGGCATTCCTCTGGAGACAGTTCACTCTGGTCACCACATTCAATTGCCTTGTCAATACTTTACCCACGAGGCTTCTTCCCCCCCAACGGAAATCAATCAATTCATCGCGCCATCATTTCCCATCTCCCTGGTCATTCAGTCACCAGCCGCTCGTTGCATGTTCGTAGTTGGTCACGTTTTCTCGACTAGCTGCTACCGCGCATATTGGCGCCGCGTTTAATATCCCTGGGCCAAGCGAGATCCCAATCCAGACCTCAAGTTTGGCCGCTTGGCACCTATGCAGTCGGCGGCGTATCGTTTGTCCCTCCGCTAGTAGTGTGTGTATGGATCTGGGCTTCCTTTGAAATCCATCCCCCAGCACTGACTGGTATTATTACTACTACTATTATCAACATCCAGCCAGAACGGCCAAAGCTAGAAGCTTTCCTCCCCGCATCTCCACCTCACACCACTCGGTCATCATCATCATCAGCTGCCGGGACGGACCACGATCCTCACCTCGTCTTGTCTCGCCATTCAGTGTGGAGTGAATCTCGTCTTTTGCCTGGCCACCCCCCACTGCCTGTATCCTACTATTGATCGCCTCGTACCTGACTTACCGGAAGGCTACACCGCCGTGCACGCGACAAGCAGTTCAGGCACGATAGACGCCAAACCCAACCGGAGTTGACTGCCACAGTTGACATCACTCCCGAAGAAGCACGAACGAAAAAAAAATCCAGGCCAGCTCGGTCACCGTTCCAGTTGCCCTACGCAACCCCCTCCCTCCCTTATCAATAATCATCGCCCTAGCTTCGTGCGCAGAAGAATGTTAGTCTCTTTTTACTTAATTCCCCTTTAAAATCCGTTGCATTTCTACCCTCCGATATCCCCGTCGGCGGCCTCGGCCTGCTTGAGTAATACTTTCATTCATCAGCTCTGCTCGGATCCGCGGCAGGCAGCTTAATAGTCGCCCGTGACTAACCTATATCTCCGACATTAGCTACAAAGACGGAGGAACCAACGGCGCCCAGACAAGCCTCTCCCTCTCTCTTCCTCTCCGCTCTCGAGCGACTCTTTCATCCTCCATAACATTGAGAGAGGCCTCCCCGACATCTTCAAAGATTGCTACCGACGCCTAGCCCGACTCGTCGCGAGTCGAGTGGAGACTAGACGGTCGGACACTTTTTCTGACATCACACAACCGCATTTGCATTACATCCGCCGAATACTCACCCAACAGCTGGGCGTAAACAATGGGAAATCAGTCGTCGAAGGAGGGCGGTTCGTCCTCAAGGTCGGGCGCCGGTCCAGGTGGCGACCGCATCGAAAGTCTACAGTCATACCCCTCCTTTGGCAGGTCCGACACCAAGGAGTCATCTCGCTCCTTCAAGGCTCTTCGATCCAAGATCCCGGGCACTGGCAAGACAGATAGCCCGCGCAATTCTACCATCCTCAGTAATGGCGACGAGAAGTCGGATGTAGCCTCGGTGAAGTCTGGCAGGAGCGGAAGATCACGCGGCAGCGTCATTTCAGCCTCCGCGCCTCAGTCTCCTCAGTCGCCCGACGAAGCAAGATCCCCATTCGACGAAGACCAGCCGCCGCCGTCCCCTGTGCAGTCCGCCTCGATCCGGGCTGGTCATGGAGATATCACAGCTGCGCAGGCATCTGGCGAGGTAGATCATGTATCTGACCAGCCACCATCTGGTTCAACTCCTTCGAACCCCGACGTCGCTGTCCAGCCAGGTGCGTCTATTCTCGTCAGAAAGGACAGCACTATCAATCCGATTCTGCAAGATGCCACCAATGGTAGCGCCAAGGACGAACCGACTGCTGGCATTGCCATGAACGATATCAAGGACATTGACCTCGACGACTATATCAAGCGTCTGCTTGACGCAGCGTACGCTGGCAAGGTCACGAAGAGCGTGTGTCTTAAGAATGCCGAAATCGTAGCCATCTGCCACAGGGCTCGCGAAGTCTTCTTGTCCCAGCCTGCGCTTCTTGAGCTGGATGCGCCAGTCAAAATCGTTGGTGACGTCCACGGCCAGTATACTGACTTGATTCGCATGTTTGAAATGTGCGGCTTCCCACCCAGCTCAAACTTTCTCTTCTTAGGTGATTACGTCGACCGAGGCAAGCAGTCCCTGGAGACGATACTGCTTCTCCTGTGCTACAAACTCAAGTACCCTGAGAACTTCTTCCTCCTTCGCGGCAACCACGAGTGTGCCAACGTCACGAGAGTGTATGGGTTTTACGACGAGTGCAAGAGACGATGCAACGTCAAGATCTGGAAGACCTTCATCGACTGCTTCAACACCTTACCTATCGCGGCAATTGTTGCTGGAAAGATCTTCTGCGTTCATGGCGGACTGTCACCAGCTCTGAGCCACATGGATGACATCCGCAACATCGCACGACCTACAGACGTCCCCGACTATGGTCTACTGAATGATTTACTCTGGTCTGATCCTGCCGACATGGAGCAAGACTGGGAAGCCAATGAACGTGGAGTCAGCTATTGCTTTGGTAAAAAGGTCATTACCGACTTTCTTGCTACACACGATTTCGACTTGGTTTGTCGTGCTCACATGGTTGTTGAGGATGGTTATGAGTTCTTTACAGACAGAGTCCTGGTCACTGTTTTCAGTGCTCCCAATGTGAGTTTCCTAAACAGCAGACCCCATAACCTACCGAAGGCAAGCTAACGATTCTCAGTATTGCGGTGAATTCGACAATTGGGGCGCTGTCATGTCAGTCTCTTCCGAGCTTCTCTGCAGCTTCGAGCTTCTGAAGCCACTTGACTCATCGGCACTGAAGAGTCACATCAAGAAGGGCAGAAACAAGCGCAACACGATGCTCAACAGCCCAGTATGTCAAAAATATAACCACCTTGATTCCTATTATGGTCCACTAACTTTTATCACAGCCTGCCAGTGTGCAGCCTCAAAGCGTGTAAAGAGAGGTCGAGCAGGAGATGCGCCTCCCGCAATAGCAAATACGATGCAAAGACTAGAAGCTGGCTCGTTGACGTCATGGTAGCGAATCATGATCTTGACTTGGGGTGAAAGCAATTTGAACGCTGGTCAAGCCTTCAAATCTCGTGTCGCGCAGGGTCAGAGAGGCAGTGATCCAAATAAACAGGAAAACTGCCACGGTAGCGAGGAACACAGGACAAGACGTGGAAGCCGTACGAACTGTGGCTAACTGGGCTTTACGGCAGCAACCAGGGGTGTAGCAATCCATTGGCTATAGCAGAATAGCAGACCTGGAACGGCCATGCAATTTCTTGCGTATTGTTGTGCTGCTCAGGAGTTCTTGAGCTATCACGCGAGCACTAGGATGATAATGGGTCCATGGAGGGAATCCGCCCTCAAATAGGAGGAGGGCCAATCATCAGAGAGAAAGAGGAAACGAGAAGCTATGCAATTCGGAGACTGGTTGTAGCTCAGTGGTGTTTTACGTTGTTGAGGTTCTTCAGAGTCTGTGAGTAATGATTGCTCATCCGACTAGTGAGTGAATCCGCTGTCTTTTGGGTGGGTGTTTTGAATGAATATCTCAATGGTTTAGTAAATGTATTTTTATATTTCATAAAACACTCAGTGTTGTCCGCCCACAAGGTATCCATCGGCGACTCATGGTGCACACTGAACAGGAGAGTGACTCTCGTCGATCAATATGAATGCCAGGGCCTACCCGTACTTGCCTGACTATACGTTATAATATCCATCAAACTTGACCCATTGCCAACTGGCGACCATCAACGCAGGGTCATATAAGGTTGACGGTTGAGAGGATAATAACCTCGCGCGCGACATGCGGGTAGAGTTTGTGCCTTTCATAGTTTTAATTCAAGGGTTCACAGAACAGCAGCAACGGCCTCATATCTTCTTGACTGACGGGTTCCTGGGTGCAGATCGAGAGTGTGGCTCTACTTTGTATCTTGAACCCGGTACGACTTGGAGTGCCAAGCCAGGTCAAGTAGCTCTTTGAACGACAGCACAATGGCACGCCTACCGTTACTTGTTTCCGTGCGACCAGTATGGACTCCTTGCTCTCACTTCCTCACCGTATCTCCACAGCAGGCCAACCACCGGAAGTCCACTACCAAGGGCGATGAATCCTATGATTGAACTGCCCCAACCATATCCGAGTCGATCATACCTAACTTTACCGTTTAGCCAGGCGATAAAAGGCAGAGGGGGGAAAGAAGACTTTACAATTGTGGAGCGAACAATGGGAAGCTAAATCCTGCAAAGCATCGGAGAATGGATATGGCGGCTATCGCGCTCGCAGAAAACTGACCATACGTGTCCACGACGTATGCGTTGACCGAGCTCGTGCAGACCATGGCGCCGGCTACGAATAGAGCACAACCAAGATTGGGCATGATCCACCGGAGCGTGTGCTCGGCGCTCCAACCGTACCAAAACAGACCGAGGCCGAGCAGGACGGTGCCAGGTGCCATGATGGGGATGCGGAATTCCGGCTTTCCGTTTCCGTCGTGTTTTGTTGACAGGTGACGGTATATGCGATCCAGGGAGATTGTGTAGACTAGAGTGGCAATCGTCCCAGAGATGGCAATAGAGACGTAATTCAGGCCGGCAATCTGGACGCTTTCGTGATATCGGTCTGTCCAGAGGCTGACAAAGTCGGCATAGAAGATGTAGATGTTGCCATACAGATATGCATTATACAAGGCTAGCGCTTGGATGATGGGCTGAGTCGTTAGTAACTTGAAGGGTCTGATTAGATTTTGGTGAAGAATTCGAGTCCCAACGTGGTCCAGATGGTCAAAATCTGTGTGGTATCTCGTGTCGCCCGTCTCTCGGATCCGTGCCCACTTTCGCCGTCGAAGCAACAGGGGCGCATACGTCTCCTCGAGGAAGATGCATCCGAGTCCCTGGACGACGACGCTAAGGATGGAAGATAGGTAAAAAGTCCAGTGCCAAGTCAAATACTTGGCAATGAACCCTCCGGCAACCACACCGAAGAGCGGGCCCAGTACGGAGCACCAGCTGTATATCGCGACGCCCTTCCCACGCTCCGCCGGTCTAAACATGTCGCCGAGGGTGCCGCCACCAATCTTGGCAAATGTTACTGACCAAAACTCGGATGAATAAAGAAAAGAAGAAAAAAATTCAGCCCAAAACTCACCCCTAATGTAGCACTAGCAAAAAGCCCCGAGAGAAACCGCAGGACGGTTATGGTCGCCGCTGTTCTCGAGGCTCCGCAGGCAGTGTTGAAGACAATGTACAACAAGTTCCAAGACCGCACCACCCGCACGCGCCCGTACGTCTCGGACAGGGGGCTGGCGATCAGCGGCCCAAAGGCGAAGCCGAGGAGAAATATGGAAAGAACCATCTGCCGGCGGGCCGGCTGCTGCTGCTCGATTCCGAGATCCGCGGCCATGGCGGGCAGGTTGGGAGCAATCATGCTGGTGGAGAAGACGCTGATGAAGACAAACAGAGACATGGCGGTCAAGGCCTTTGCCCTTCTGGCGAGCGGCCAGTTTCTTGGGTTCCCGGGATCTGTAGCTTCGTCCTGCCACGTGATCTGGCAGTATATCACTTGTGTGAGTAGAGGAGCACTTTCTCTTGAGAAGGAATGGAATTATCTGACAAGATGTTCATTTGTCTCCAGCATGTCCCGCCCCTCGACCGTGGGTACGATACCCCCGTGAGCAAGGCCCGGGCGATGTGTGATTTCAGGGTGGCGAGTCTCGTCTTGGACCATGATCGTGAGGCAGCGGGACTCTTTAAACATAGTCTCACGCCGCGCGCGACAGTATCAAGTAGTAGTTTAGTGTGATGAAGAATTGTACAGGCTGCTTCTCGCTGGTCGTTCGAGGTGGCTGGCAGTAGATGTGCCAATGCCCGATGCATCAACTGTCTTGATGCCCCGCCCAGCACCGTAGGGAGGCTCATATAGTGGCCCGGAGCAGTGTCCCGGGGTTTCCGGAAACGATTGTAATGAAGCAAGCTCTGGGATGGGTAGAGGTTGGCCGAGTCCGTTTGGGTCGGAAAATATTCCTTGATTTTGATCCTAACGACTTCTCAAGCAAGCGAGTATATAGTGGATCTACTTGCCTTCTTTTTTAATGCTACTGGTCGATGTATATTGTGGGAATCCTCAAGATACGGATTGCGTGATTGGCCTTGCAAATGAGCTGTTGATTCTCCAAAAATCGGATTATACGATTTTCACGGTCATGTTGCATGAGCTGGGATGTGCGATTTCTGGGAGGTCGCCGCAGAAACATGGCAGAAGCAAGACGCGAGGGGTTTGACCAAACACCATTCTGCAGTATCTTCGTTTTCACTTTTGGTTCTTGTTAATTTCCCTCTAAGATCGTTTCATGTTGCGCAGCGTCGATCACCACACGTGTCCTTTGTCTCACGAAGATTGTATACCAATTATTAGTGAGGATGATCTGGGGAAACTATATGCTTATTCTTGCACACGGATCTGAAGCGTTATGGTCATTGTTATTATATTTTGGTTGATTGGTTCAGAAAGATCTGTTTGAATTGTGTGATTGTAGGGACATATGTCGTCACGCCAGTGACAGTGTGCTCGTTGATCCATGGCATTTCTGAAGAGGAAGGAAGTCGATATCGATGTATTAAGACGAAGAAAATAGCCGGGTTAGACACGGCAGTTACCTACATATCTCGATGATCATTTGAAGAGCCAGTCGTTAGGTATTTACGGAATCCAAATCAGCAAGTCATTCCATGCAATAAAGATTCGACGTTTTTGGGGAGTGATCAAAGGAAACGATGGTCTTCTTCGGAGCCGTTTCGATCCGGGCAATGTAATTGGATATAAGTGTCATGAACTGAGCCCTCATCAAGTCAAGCCATTGTAAATTGATATGTACCCACGAGAGCGGCATGACTAACAAAGTCTACGCTGCCATGCTGCGCAAACACATTCTCGGAATTCAATCAAGTAGCATACGCCCGAGTATAGTGTATGGCCAAGAGCTAAGCGTGTCTGATATCTGAAGTCCAATGTGATAATTCGTATTTTCTCTACATAGGTGGCAGCATTGGGCGGCATCTCTGTCCATCGGTCCCTTTCATAGAAGAAGACTTTGGATCAAGGCCACTCTTACCAACAGCCTCCCATCTACTCACCTAGGCAAGTCATGCGAGGAAAGTAATAGCATTAGATGTGACGTGTTATTTCGGTCGAACGTGCCAAAAAGCTGGTCTGTATCATCATGACCGAGATATGCAAGACCGGTGCAGCACTCCCGGCAGTTGTCAAACATGATTGGGCGTTGTACTCGGCCATATTCTCTCGTCGAAAGCTCAAGAAGCATCCAGGTATAGAGGTCAGCATGTCCAAGTGCCCATAGATAGACTGACCATACGGACAATGGAGGAAACGTACCCGCAAACCATTATCTTGAGCCAGGGATATGAGCTTATATCATCCAAAGATCGGCATAAACCAACCGAGGCGTCTGACCCTCCATGACGACGAGGACCAGGTCTGCAAATATTGCTGAAAGCTGGACGGATTTTCTAAATGCCGTCCAGCCAGAATAAGTCGTTTGCATTTGTTGCAATTCAGCTCCAGGCAGAAGAATAGAAGAAGGAGGCGGAGCATGAAGTAGTGTTATTTATCCCCGTGTTGTGGCCGGTAGGCAATATTACAATGAGCGCTCAGAGTAGAGAAGTAGGTACGCAATCTTTTGCTGCTTTCCCGTGAGCTGGCACCTTAAAATTCCTTCGCCCGGGTGGGCGGGAATCCTCCGGCTAGAGACTCTGTAAGACACCGTGAGACTCCTACGCATGCAGGTGGTGGTGCATGAATGTCTGCACCATTGTTGAGGAGCCTTTAGACTAGGACAGCTTTCAGTTGGTCAGCTAGATGAACTGTATCTGGAATTGTGGTGCCCTATCAGCCATTATACGTGACGTAGAGTAGGCACACTTGAATGCTCGTGTGTCCCCATTTACAAAGGTGGCAGAGCATTCCGGTTGACCTTGTTACCGGCAACAGAAAATCCCAAGACGATGGGTGGGGACGTCTTGGATCGGGTTTCGCCCATCCCGTCTTCAGATGAACGGACACCGCGGGGACGGATGGAGTGTCTTGGGGCGAGAATGACGCAGGCGCTGACAGGGCTGACGGGCTGAGCCTCCTCGATGGAGCTGACCGAGGAGGTGACTAAGCTACGGCAACAAAGGGAGGGAGGAGGGGAGGGAGACTGTGAGTGTGAGTGCGAGTGTGTAAATGTGTTTGCGATAAGGAATCTTTCCATGTATTTGTCCCAGCCAAGCCGGTCTGACATGTGTTACGGGCGGCCTGTGGTGTTTCAGACGATGGGCCGAACTAGAAGAGAAGGAATATCAGCTCTCTCCGATTCGCCGGGGTTAAACACATCCCAAGCATTGGCACGAGCATCGCAGTGCGCCACTAGTAAGATCACGGACACTAACAAAGTAAACGCACGACAACTCGAGTTTCTATTTCTGTAATAGACAGAGAGAGGCAACACGGGAAGCTTTACCTACTTACCGACCTACAGCAGGAGAAGCCAAAGTCAACTTTGTTTTTTTCTTTCTCTTTGGAGACTAGAGTTCATTGTGGGCGGCGATCTTCAGTGGCTCATTCATCTTTTAAGCTTGTGCCCTACAAGACCAAGACTGGGTACCTACCCTTCAGCGCTAGACCCCCATTGTAGTGTACCGACCTACCTTGTACTCAGAGACATTGATTTGTGTAATTGTACGGTGTCGCCGGAGGGGAATCGATTAATTGCGTGCATTGATGAGAGTGACTGCCAAAGTCTTCCTCCAGAATCCTGACGAATCCAGTGACTCTTTCGCTGACAAAGGCTGACTGGCTGACTGAATAACTTGGTGGACGCGTTACCTCATGTTACATTGGTTACAGTATCGCTTGTTTGCTAGAGACTTGCCCCGTCTAATCCGTGGGCTTTGACCGCCAAGTGCAACGGGGACACCCCACAGCAAATCATTGCCCAGGTTCGGCGCGCTCAGAGCGTTCGGACAGTAGCTGGCGTGTTGCATAGCCCGGGAGCCTGACGTAGTCTGAATGATAGGTAAATACTGTGTACAGAGAGATGGAGAAAGAAAGAGAGAATATGTGCCGTCCCCTGGTAGTAAGTAAGTAGTACGCATTGCACATGTGTGTGCGTATGCTTGCATGCATGCATGTAGAAGGAACAGTATGGGCGGCGACCTTGATGATGATGATGATAAGAACGAGATGCATCCTGTGATCCATCGAGAGCCACGCTGAAGACGTGTCCAAGCGAGGCAACGGGCATCGCCTTTGCATTTGCATTGCTTGAAGCAGCTTATAGGCTCGTTAGGTGTGTGGCTGCGTTGCGTGGACTTTGGAGGCTGCAGCATTTATACTAGGTAGGAAGCGTGGCAACCAAGCCAATAGCCCGCCGCCGCCTAGCCGAACCCTCCGTCCATTGGACCGTTTGATTCAGATGGATTTCCAAATCCAGATGCGCAGAGAACAACGAAGGAGGGAACTACTTGGACGAGGGAAACAGGTACGAGTCTTGGCCAGATCCAGATCTCGCATACTACTTAGTTCTTCTTCAGCGTCCCGTATCAGGATCAAGGTGTGTCGTCTCAGATACTTGTCAATACCTACATTAGCAATAATAAGCCCTGTCCCGTCTTTGTTTCTTTCGAGTTGCTGCTCCCTTCTTCGTATTGATTATTCCGTTACCTGTGCATCTTTCATCCTTTTGTTGGAGGTCGTTCCCCCCTTCAGTTCCCCGTGCTTCCCGTTCCTGCCATCTGGAATAATCATCTTTGGTCTAACTCGCACCTCCACTGGAATAACAAGGCCGTTCCGTTTACTCCACTGAACTACCTTAAGTTTCGGTGGCACCTTTTGAGGGAATTGACCCCATTTGGACCCAACCAACCAAACTCAAGATTACTGGAGCCTCCTTCGATCATCATATCTTTTTTCTTCTTTCCACTCCCCTGCTCACTCACTCATTGAAGCAAATTCAAATATCTCAACGGTGCAGTGCCCAGTCACTCTATTTCTTTCACCACAACTCTCTCTCCCTTCTTCTTCGTCTCCTGCACTGCACTTTTTTATTTTTGCCTGCTTGCTTGGACCCCTCGTCCAACAGGCGAGCTTATAACTTGTATTCCCTTTTCCGACTACTTCTCCCTACATACCCACAAACAGTAAATCGCAACCCTCAAAGGCAGCCCGCAATGCGTTTACACTCCATCCTGTCAGCCTTGGCTGGCATGCTTGCCACGAGCGCCCTTGTCGAAGCTTCTCCCATGCGTTGCTCAGACGTGAGTTTCCTGTTGTGCCTGCCCTCTTATTTTTGATCTACTTTTGGTTTCTAACATTGCAACAAAAGCGCGTCCGTGATGGTATTCTCAAAGGAGACCTCAGGCCAGAGATGTGCTGCAGCTATGGCAAATGTCTGGGAGATGTCGTTATACAGTCTGGTTGAAAAGCTCTACTCCTAACTAGCTTCAGAGCTCTGGGACATGCACAACTTTACAACAACCCAGTACCAAAACCAGTCGCACCAACAAGGACGACACATTTTTACACACACGGCGCAAAGACAACACATAATGGGACGGCAAGTCAGAGAGTGGTTCATCAGCATATGCATTTGGCGCGGCGTTTTTTTTATTCCCTTTCCCCCCAAAAAAGCAAATGGTGGAACTTTGAGCGAAAGGCGTCACGGACATATTGAATATTTTTATGACTTTCTTCCTCGTCATACACATACACAAACACAGCGTCTTGGACGACTGCTGTATACACACAATCACCATCAACAAAAGTGGTACCGGAGGAACAAAACAGCAAGGGATACCATTCCGACGCAATTTCGGAGTCACTTGGACGTGGCCAGGGGTTGTAGGGTTTCTTGGCTTGTTGGTCATGGTTCTATGCAGATGACATTTGCAAAGGAGGGTGCGGGCCGGGTTGTAGTAAAGTATCTCGCCGAATACAAGGGACTGAGTCGGCGGGATCATAAGTCGTACGGAAATGACCACAATCACCAAAGCAGGAAGAGAACAAACACACTTGGATGGTTAGACTAAATCCCCGCTACCCTCTACGGCCTGGTCAGCAAGAATCGAAAACATTTCTTTCCAAATCTGAGCCCCCAACTTTGCCAACCTCACCTGCCTCCTTGAGATTTTTTGGCGTTTGTGTGGATGTCGTTGGGAGGAAGAGTGGAGCTTTGATACACTAGGATGCGATGCCAAGCTATCGTGAGATGGACCCTTTGCTTACTCCTTTTGTACCAGCGGCAGCACGTCAATGGCCGTCCAGAGACTAGCTTCGGTGCTACGATACGGGTCTTGGCGGAGCCTGTCAGGTTCAACGGGATCCATCTTCATCAACACTGTCCATCCGGCGACCAGAGCATTGGGGAGGACAACCTCCACCCTAGATAGCTAAACTGACCATGCCATGGACGTGCTCAACGACTATTGACGATTTTCCTCTGACCGCCCGCCGTGCCGTCATCGCCAGGGATATCGACCAATCGCCCATCATGGGTTTGAGGTTTTTTTCTTCTTTTCTTTTCTGGAAGTTTTTAGATGCTCGAGTGAGTAATCGCCGATGATGATAAGATGTAACCACCACCCCCTTTTTCCCTCCCTTCAAATTAATGGAGTAGAAGAAGCAGTGTTGACTGTTCACAGAAACAAGCAATTACGGCAAGATGCATACTACTGGCTGGGCATATCACAAACGGCGCACGATAGGAAAATGAAAAATCCTTGGCCCAGCAGTTTGAGCACACAAGCTTCCCGAAGCTAGCTTTTATAAACAGAGGCTAACTATAACCATAATCTGAACTCATTCGCCAAACGTTCAGCTTCCCAGGTTTATCTAGATTGTGGCCTCTGCGCAATCTCTTTTCCGTCCGATTGCCTAAGCCAGGGTGCCAGACGTGAAACCCTCGCTATTGACCACGAACCCGTAGCAGTTCTGTGTGCCCCTCGAGTCAGCACAAAAAACCCCAAGCTTTCTTTTTTTTTTGGCCTTCCACCCAAAAACAAAACGGGGCACGGCCAGTCGTGCCAAGGGAGGGAGCAAATCAATCACAAGGTCAAAAAAGAGGACAACGACGGTATACAACAACTAATAATCTCAACTCACCGTAGCGTTGTGGATGCAGACATCGTGTGCGCCCTCGGTTGTCGTTGCGCAGCAGTCCTCTATCATGATGCAATCCCAGCCCGCACTATATGCATCCGTAAGTGTTCCGAGAACACTATGATAGTTAACAAACAAAAAAAAGTCAGCCGCTGTCATTTTTTTTTTTTTTTTTTGGCAATGAGATAGAGATGTTCATCTCGGCTTCCCTCACGGAAAGCGGGCCGAGAAACCTCCTCCCTTGTCAGATGTGACAAGCCCAACGCCCTTGTGTAACACATTTGGTAGCACCAATGAGTTTTCAAATTGAGTCATTCCGAGGAATATTTGCCAGGGCCACGGGTTGGCCAGACAGGAAATGCATCTTCCCAGCAGGACTTATTCTCCCCTCTTTGCAACTTACCACTGGTCCGTATTCACGCCGGCAAACAGCAGAGTCTTGTGACTGCTCTGTGCGAGATATCGCCAAAGAGGCGTCTGTTGGTTCCAGAGTCCCGACACTAGAAACGGCAAAGTTGCGTTATTGGTTAGTCTCGTGATATCTATCGAATACCTGAACAGATGTGGCTTAGATTGGTGCAAGCAAGACACTTCAATACGAGATTTGTTTTCCCCCCTGGCTAGGCATCTGGCTCACGATGCAGGTCGATAAGACCTCAAGGGTTGCCAGCCACCAAGAATATACCAGGGATTCTACTGTGTAAGTAGGCAACAAAGGGTAGAGGGCGAGGAGGGGACAAGAGGGAAAGAACACGAAAAAAAAAAAAAAGATAAGAAAAAGGAGGACCCTGTCTGTTTGAGCTTACTCCTGTTCTTGGACAAATGCTTGTCCAGCGAGTTGACGGCAGCCGCCAGCGGCGGGTAGAGGGCCGAGTTCCACTCCCCGGCGACGAGCGTGCGCCCGAGCCCGGAGCCCAGATCCGCGCCCAGTCCGAGGCGGCGCGGTCGGTGGTCCGGGTCAATGAGGGTGCGCGCAAAGCTGCGCGATATGCTCGCCGGCATGCTGGCCAAGTCTTGTTCTGTGAGGCCCCAGTTGAGCCAGATGACCTTTGTGTGTTTTGGTCAGTATATGTTTTGAAATAAGGAGTGTCTGAATTGGAAAAGTATTATCTAGATGAAACGGCACACACCTGAATACCCAACTTTCTACACTTGGAAATCACGTTCAAAGTAGCCGGCACCGCCGCGAGCCCCGTCTCGTGATTCCGCAGCTTGGCGTCTAGGAAATAATTCTGCATGTCAATGATGACCAGCGCCGTCCGGGCCGGGTCTATGCGGATCGAAGTGGCGGCTGGGCCCCGGCTCGTGGCGACGGTATAACAAGAGCCATTTGCACTGCTTGCTCCGCGCGTCAAGTCGTACGTCTTGCTGGATCGGTCGTAGAGCCAAGCATCCTTCTCGGGACCTAGTTTGATGAGTTCTTTGGCAGTCATGGCTGTTTTTGTATATCCTTGTGGCTTGTTTGAAGCCTTGGTATTGATTAATTATATGAGAAGATGTACAAAGTGCCTTGCTCAAGTTGTTGGAAGTGATCTAGTCAAGAACATGTTCGATATATCACTACTGGTGACGTAACTCATCAACATGTTGCAGATATCGGGAATTACCCCTCTGCTCCAATTTACTGCAATCTGGGGATCCGGACCCGATACGATCCCAATTGGGTCGTATCGGGTCCACCCCGAATCGTCTGCCAGTCATTTTCATCGCCAGATCACCTTTCAGTTCATCATGGGAAAAACTAGCCTGGACCATTCAATAGATTATACGATAATTGTCCAGTATGCCCATCCTCCGCTGGTGCCTGTGCAGCAGCAAGGTATAAACGAGACATGAAGCCGGGCCAACCAAAAGGTATCTGTAAATGTGGTTACGCCCAAATGCAATAAAATGTTTCTTGCCCAAATGCGCGCAATTCTCTGTCACCCCAAACGCCAGAGCTCGATGGAGAGCCTCGCCCTGTGTCCCAAATCTTTCATCTTGATGCATCATCTGTTCGTCAAGATACGCAATGATTATGATGTAAGCAAGTCCCCATATGCTCCTCGTGTCCGTCTTTTCAGTCCCGAGCCCACCAGTTAACCGAAACGCCTTGCAGAAATGAAGTATTCTCATTAAAAAGTTGTGGTGCCGAAATGAGAGCCGTATCCCCAATCTCCGGGACACGGAAGAAATTGAGATGAAGATTATATTCATGTCGTGATCATGCGATTAGCGCTCGCAAGGGTTTTATCTACGAGTTCCTGAACTCGTGGAATAAGATCCGGAATGCGGAACGGTTTGGATATCACATCGTCCTGGTGTGTATATTAGCAAATGGAGGCAAAAGAACTAGGTCGGTAGCGGGGACTTCTTACAACTCCTGCGGCCTTGGCATCCTCAATCTGCTCCGGCCGTGCATATGCTGTCACTGCAATAATGGGGATGTGGCTGACGATGGCACCTTGCTGTTCCAGCTCTCGTATCTTCCGCGTGCATGTCATTCCATCCATGACAGGCATTTCGAGGTCCATCAGTATGATGGAAATTTCAGAGCCGGTTTGCTCTTGACCTCGCCAATACCGAGACTTTTTCAATAGCTCGATAGCTTCACCTCCATGGTTTGCGACTTGAGTGTTGTTGCCGCTATTTTTCAGCTGCCTTTGCAGTACCTTCTGGTTGACCAGATTGTCCTCGACAATCAGAAAGTCAAAGACACGCTTTCCTGGACTTGTCGGTGCTTTGGGTATCGCCGAGACTTTTGTACTTGCAACTCCAGGGAGAGGCTGAGGCTGACGACTTTCTATCGTTGTTGAAGACCCTGGCGCTCGGGTCAGGGGTGGAGCAACTGACACTGTCTCATCCTTGTGGCCCTTAGCCCTGCGACTTTGTACATAAAAGGAGAAGGTACTGCCGACACCCTTCTGAGAGTCTACTCCGATCTGACCACCTTGAAGCTCTGTTAGGATGCGAGATATGAACAAGCCCAAGCCCGAACCTCCATACTGCACATGGGTACGGGGGGAGGCCTGGGAGAATCGCTGGAATAAAAGCGTCTTTTCGTGCTCGTCCAAACCCCGACCAGTATCCTGAACAGAGAAGTGCAGATTCAACTTTTCGCCCAGACCCCAATCCGGTTTGTCCGTGATTTCGCCAGTCTCTGGGCGGTCGCTGGGGAAGAAAGAAATGTGGGAATCCGTCCGCTCCACAATGTGTTTCGACGCGTCCAACGTAACAATGATCTTTCGTTCTGCGCGGGAGTTGGTGAATTTGATTGCATTTGTCATCAGATTGATCAGAACCTGGAGCAGGCGGGACGGATCGAGCTTGACCCAGTCCACTCCCATATCGATGAAGCGATTTTTGACTTGAAATTTCATTTCGATGCCATTTGCATTTAGTTCACCTTCAAACATCTTGAGTACTCGCTGCACAACAGCCACGGGCTGCACATCGACCGGCGTGACGAGCAACAACTGAGAATCGAGTTTCGATAGTGTGAGTACATCGTCAACGATTCTCTTTTGGTGACTTGCGCAAAGTGTAATGGTGTTGGCAGCTTCGAGACATGCCTCGAGGGCTGCCTTGAGATTGTCAGCTTCTCGGTTGAATTCAGTCTTGGACCGGTAAGTGCCTAGAAGCGCCGAGATCTCGTCTGCACACTGGAGAATAGCGCTCAGTGGATTCCGCATCTCGTGGCTAGTAATATCGATAAAATTCTCCTGTTGTCGCTTGAGTTCAACGGCCTCCTGGCGACGCTGATCCTGGATCTGTTCCGCTAGCTTCTGCTGAGAAATATTCGTCATACAGCCAAAGATTTCTTTGACACTGCCGTCTGGAAACTTTTCGGGGTATGCGCTCATCAAAACCCAGTTGTCAATGACATTACCGCTCTCTTCGCGAGCTTGCTTGAAGCGGAACTCGACGGTGATGGCCTCTTTCTGCTTGGTTAGCTGCTGCCATGCTTCCTCCAGCGCAGGACGATCCTCATCATTGACCTCATCCATCCATGAGTCAATAAAATAGTCGTCTCTAGGTCTTTGCGCAATTGCGTACCACATATCGTTACAGTATGTGATCAGGCCATCGCGGTCCGCAATGAACATGGCAACCGGCGCGAACTCTGCCATTCGCGTAAATTTCAACTCGCTTTCTTCTACCTCCTGAGTCCTGAGATGAAGTTGCTGGGTCAGTTCTTGGCGGTCCAGTGCAGCTAGGCGAGCGGCTCTTTGTCCTCGTTTAATCTCCTCCTCGAAAAGAACTACTGATGCCATTGACGTCGCAAGCTGCCTGGATAAGAGATGAATAAAGAGTTGGTAATCGTCATCAAAAGGTCTCCGAGGATTCAGACCCATTACAAGGAAGCCCACGACACTTTCACCGCCCGTCGTCGGGTGTATAGGGAAAATAACAATCGATCGACAGAATGTGACTGCGCCTCTAAAGGTGAAACCGTCCATAAGGTCCCCCTCAAGCGTGCCATCCTCTTTCGACAACACAATTGGCACGCCTGCTTTAGCCATCGAATCTCTCATATATGGAGCAAATCCATCTGTGCTAGTTCTTAGGTCAAGTGGTGTGACGAGTCGGGCGTGCCCTTCAGGTATGCCAAGGGAAGCTTCCAGTACCAGCTGAGGCGGATTCGACAAGCTACCCGAGTGCATCGAGGACATGTCGCTCTCGGAGTCTTCGGAGACAGAATATACCAAGGCAAATGGGATGTCATCTTCGTTGAATTCGAGACCTTTCTGAACTTGTGACCAGAAGCTCGTCACATCCTTTGCCGTTGCCGTCTTCTCGCCAACATCTCTTAGCGTAAGCATGCGCCTCTCTGCAACTTTGCGTCGTGTGTTCTCAAATGCAGGGTTGTAAAGTCCCACAACGGAGCCATTTTCACCGACCAAAGGAACAATGGACCACGAAAAGAAGGTCTCCTCATCGAAGCCATGTCGGTTAACTATCAGTCGATGATCATTCTTCATAGTGGCCTGTCCAGATTGTGTAGCGCTTTCGAAAATGGGCTCAATCTCAGGCCAAATTTCTTTCCAAGCTATCTTGTAGCTTTGTCCCATCAAGGATGGATGTTTTTGACCCGCCAAAGGCACATAAGCTTCATTGTAAATAGCGATGTGCTCAGGGCCCCAATACATTGCAGCCGGGTGCGGACTGCCCATAACCATGTTAGCCATGGCGCGCAGGTCTGCTGACCAGTGCTCTATAGGGCCCAATGGTGTCGACGCCCAATCTCTGGACCGCGCGAATTGGATATGTTCTGGGAGATCTGGGGTTAGGGGAATACGTGTCCAATCGAAAGATGCCTGCTCGGACGGTATCGAGTTATGCTCTGGAAGAAAATCGCTGGAGCGACCAAGAAACAGCCGATCAACCGCATCATTGGCCAAGGTCGCCCCAGATGTATCTGCAGTTGCCGCCGTCGCACTGCCAAAATAGTCGGGCGCATCCGGGATCAATATATCGCTGGGCGTCCTTGGTTGCGCGCTGGGAGTTTGTACGCGGACCCGCGAGTCAACACTCGTCTCTCTCTCCAATTGTGGCTCTGGTGAGGATCGGGCTATGGAAACAGCACTTCTGTTGGCGCTGACAAACCGGAATCGATTTCTGATAACGGAGCAAGTCCAATCGCTTCCGGCATAATGGAAGGAGGGCAAGAACAAGTCCAATCCGCCTTGGGGATCGCCGGGGCTCTTGACCCAGGCCTTGAAAGCGGCAAAATCAAGTTTCGCGTCTTCGTCCTGCAGCTCGGAAAAGAGTACATGTCGCATGCAGCCCGAAGCTTGAAGCGCAGGATTTGCGTATAGGATGACAAATGGCCCAGGGTTCGAATTTGCTACATTTGTGCCATCTATAACAAACGTCGGTCTGTCGTCCCTCTCGAGTAACTCCAGTATACCAATTCCTTGAAGAAATTGAAGTCCCGGAGGACCTCCGAGAAGATCTGGGCTTCTCGTAAAGCCAGATGCTTCAAGAGAGGTCCAACTGCCGCTACCTGGGGTACTCGAAGATCTTGCTGGACTGGCGGAACTGACTGTGCCTCTTGCAAGTTTGAGGGTAGTCACGTCTGCTGCCGAGGGGTCTTTGACGCTTCTCAACATTGTTCCCGCAGCCTCGGAACTCGAGAAGCGTGGGAGCCGCACCAAGGGAGGTCTCGCTTTGTGGGAGAAGAATAGTGGCGACGTGACGGCAGGCTTCTGGGGAAGAGGCGGTGTTTTAAATTCGCTGAGGTCAATCTTGGACGGTGGAGGCAGGCCAGTGCGAGGCTTCTTTGCAGGTGGCCGGGCCGAGCGATCGTGAATTGGTGCCACTTCACTCAGGACCCGTTTTCCATGTGTTCTCGTATTGTTCCTCTGCAGCGGCGGCACTGGTGGAGAGGATGAGCCAGGGCCGGCAGACAGGCGCTGGGAGGACTGATCGGCGTAGAAATGTTGTCGTGTCTGAAAAGCAGTTGCAGTAGTGATATTGCTAGAGGCAGCACTCAGTCCATACCGGCCAACTTCCGCAGGCCACTCTTCGAACGCAGCCTCTGAACGCAGTGCAGCAACGTTGAAGAAAGGTCGGTCGTGGGTGGATTGCGAAGGCGGATCCGGTATGGTGGTTGGGAGAGAATCGGCAGTGACGTTTGGGGACAAATGGTAGGAGTAGCCTGAAGTGTACCGAGGGTTAGAAGAAGCGATGTGGGGAGGCGTCGTGGTCACGATGTCCACTGTAGCCGCATGGAAAGGAAAATCGTCTAGTCTCTTGTTCAAAGTCATGAAGAATTGGCAAACTCTGGCATTGGAACAACGCCAGCCCTCGATTGGGAAGCCAACGCCTGGGGAGGGGCCCGAGTGGTGGTGGGAGTTGGGTCTTCAATTGTTATTTTATTGGGCTGCAGTCCAGAAAAACAACCCTAGACGGAGAGGAGGAATAGTGACCGAGAGAAGTCGTCTCGTCGGACACTGGCCATCGATCTTCGATGAAGCGCTGGCGGGTTGAAGTGGGCAGCGGCCTAACTCCAAGACTACCGAACCAGGGGGGGCGAGTAACCTGGTTGTATGTAGCAGATGGACGACAACACACACAAGAAGCAGCAGCCCAGTCAGTAACGACGAACGTGATTGTGTGTGTATGCGTGTGTTGTCGCAAATAGGCGTGCACAAAAAGCCGGCGAAATATCCCGAAGAAGGTCGGTTCCAGACAGGCACAAATTGCAATGACAGCGGATCGGATCTCGTGCGACGCAACTGACAATCGGGGGGGGGTTTTTTTTTTCGTGTCAAGGCTGGGGGAGGTTTTGCGATCCAAAAGCCAGTAGGACACAAAAAGTAAAGTTGGGTTGGTGGTAGGCGAGAGACCAGAAGGACAGACTGGACGTAGGTAGCGGTATTGGAGAATAGGAAAGACCAACCGACCAAACTATACCGATAGAATTTCCCTGCTCTTGACTCAACTCGCTCACTTTACTCGCCGTCGTCCCTGTAGCTTCCTTCAGATCCGATAACAAAAAAATAATCCAACACGCAAAAGATGACAGTCGCAAGCACAGCACAACAGCAGCAGCAGCAGCACCGGCAGCATTAGAGAGTTATTCGATCGAATGGGAATAAGACGTGGGTATGTAGTATGTATCAGCAACAGCAATTAATGTTCAATGTTGTATTCTCGGAGTGCGGGTCAAGGGACAGGGTAGGTGACCAGGCGGGCTGCTGAAACGCGCAGAGGATTGGCGGGGCCCTGGAAAGGTTTAAAGAGCCCAGAATCCCAAATGCAATATCCGACATGGGAGAGACCCAGCTTTTGGTGCCTCTTGGGGGTGGGATAGCAGCAAATCGATGAGATCGACACTGGTCTGGAACATGGGCTTTCAATGGGCACCCCCACCAGCTTACAAGAGCTTCCCCCAGTCTCGCTCCTTATTGAACCCACCCATGGAACTGGCAGAGAATCATGGGATTCTGTGCACCATCTAGTACTACATGGTATCAAGAAGAAACAATGGACCTTACGCCTGACCACTTGTGACTCTATCCTCGAGGCGCGAAAAATGCGAAGCTACAAGATACGGAATAATCTCCAGAGACTACCAAAATATGCGGATGCACAAAGGGACTAGTGGCTTGCTTCCAGTGACGTAGTATGCTTCCTCATACTTGGACGTCAATTTTACTGGCTGTGCAGTGTATACACAACGCTGACCACGTACAGCAGGTACTGTACCTATAACAAGCACAGCCGGAGACGGATGACCTCGCAAGCCGCAAGCAGCAAGCCATCGTTGACTATTAGCGGCTGAAGATGCCAGACGCGTACGAGGTTTACGTCGATCATTTACTCTTCACAGCTGTTTTGCTGGCGCCATTGCTTTGTATCAGAAGTTTTAGAGCACATGTCCGTTCATCCACCTACCTAGTACGTTACTTACCATACCTGACCTATATCAATCTTCAAGCACTTGAACGGTATATTTATCTGTCTGTCATCTGAACACCTACGTAGCTCTCGGAGATCCTACAAAGACCGGTTTCTAATTTGACTAATAAAACACACATCATCGCATGTTTTCTCGCAGACCAAACGCCATGGTTACGTTTTTCTAGTATTCTTCGTCATAACCATGCAAGTCTAGTGTTGCGACCTCAACTCAGCTATGTTTCTCCAACAAAACGACCTCGGTTGCGGGCATTGCAAAGACTCAACTTCGTCTATCGAATCGAATCGGATCGGGGGAAGGGGGGACCCTAGTCGCCTGTTCTGTAAGAGGACAAAAGCTGACACTATCTATCAATGTAGTCTGCAGTAGATCAGCGCCCGCGCGAGAAAAGTAGCCATGAATTCCCAGGCCAGCCACTTCGCGACCCTCAGTTAACAAGACTGGCTCAAGCAGCACATGGCCGCTAACGTCCATCTATTAGAGAACATCCGCCGTTGACGCAATATCTTAGCACCGTTCGGCTCGTGACTCGCTCGGGTCGCTCGCATCCCCCCCGGGTCAGGGGATGGGGGGACCCATCCGTCCTCCTGGCTTGCCAATCCCAGGGGAGTCAGCGAGAGCTGTTGCGCGTGCTGCGGCCCAAGTTCTTCAGAGACCTTTCGATGTACGCTTTGCAAGCATCTACCTTTGAGTGTCAGTAACAAACAGGCAACGCCGTTCAAAGGATATAGTTTCTGGAGAATGTTGGAAATGATCAAAAAGCCATTCTTGACCTGCACATTTGCAAAAATACAGCGCGCAACCCCTATGCATAGAGAAACTCTGTTGGATAATGTACCTTACTCAATATTTGCATGCGGCTTTTGACTTTGTGCCTTGTGTGTGTCTCAAGCAGCCAGATCTCACATTCCCGAGTCAAGGCCCACTACCGATATATCCGGGGCCGCGCTAAAAAGGGAGGGTAGGGTAAATCAACTGGATCCCCATGAGCCAAAAGATGGCATTTTGGAAAAAGGTCCATGCGGGTATGTGTGTGTGTGTGTGTGTGTGTGTCGCATCCTTCTGGGTCCATTTCGCTTGTTGATTATAGCCAGGTACGGATCCATGCAATAACAGAGATCGATAAAAGGAGTTGAACACTCCATTCCAGTGTATTATCGGCACAGCTATCTAATGTCCTCCAAGCACACAATGCAACCAGATTCTACTATACATTCCCTCTCACTGTATCTTTCCACACGCATGGCGGGTTTGGCATTGAATAGTCCCAATGCCGATCGGCGATGGCCTAGTTCTAGACCGCTCCAAACTTGCGCCTGCTTCACACCGTCAAGCTTGGATGGGCGTGGCATTGGGCGGCCAGAACGCAGCTGAAAAGCAATTATTACGGGGCTCCAAACCCCCCC